CCAACCATCTCTCTCTCTCTCTCTCTCTCTCTCTCTCTCTCTCTCTCCATGGCCCTTTTCCCCACCTTCCCTCCTCACTTGATGGCATCTTGCTCTTGTTTCTAGGGTGATTCGTAATCTATACCCATAAGACTGCTAATTTCATCTACCCATAGTATGTAATTAGTAACGAGATGCATAAAGTTTACTGGTACATGACATGTTGATTAAATTTTGACAGGCCAATAGTTAAGTTTTCCACGGATGTGTCCTTGTTGGATGGATGGTGACTAACGAGATGCACTTCTTTGACACAAGTAATTTTAATAAAGGGATTGTGTACAAGGTAAGATTACCACGCATAGCTGCAATGCAGCTACCAAGTGCTCCAGGATTTCATGTGGCAAGATTTGCCCCAGAGGCAAATGTATGACTTACTTGCTGTTGACTTTCGCAGTGTTCAGATCTTTTCTTGTGACAAGGATGCACAAAATCAAGTTGTCTGTCGGTAGGAGATTTTTTCGCTGTCCAACTGTTCAGTTCCACTAGAACAAGGGGTCTACTGGACTTCTTATTGTCTCCAAACCTGATGTGGATAAAACCAACTAGAGTATTATGGCGAAACCAAGTTGCACTACTTGACAACTGATAGGGCCTTTGATGGAATTGTTCCTCTTAGTAAGTTCTTAGTTTTTGATATTCTTTACGAGACTGTTTTTTAATGTCTGGTCATTAACTCTTATCAGTAATTTGCAGAAAAGGAGGGGCCAGTGCATGATGTTCAGTGGTCTTCTTCAGGTTCTGAATTTGTTGTGATCTATGGATATATCCTTACATATTCTGGTGACCCATGCATGAGTCATGCCTCCCCGTTCTGATGTCCATATAAATCTTTCTTTCTCTTCATCACCTCTGACTTTTATTAGCTCGAGCCTTCATAAGAGGAAGTATACGATCTGTTCTGCCAGCTTTAGATTCTTATAGATTACCCAGGTATCGTTTATGGGTCGGAGTCATTAATTCATGCCTATATTTGAAAAAAATATGTGCAAAGAACTGCATTATTCATGCTGGCATTAGATTTCTCTTTTTTCGGACTGGCCTGCTAATGGTAGCCTCACTTCTTTACATAGTCCTTACATGAACCATAACATTTCTGATTTAATGTGTTTGTTCTCTACCACTGTTCCTTGACTGAATCTCGGTTAGGCTGGCCAGAGCAACAATATTCAGCCAAAAATGCAATCCTCTTCACGACCTTGGTGAAGGCCATTATAATACGATAAGATGGAATCCCGAAGGGTGATGTATCCTTGCAATAATTTGATCAGCCAGTCGTGCTATGTTCTCTGGTCTTAGTGGGTGTAGATATATATGCATACCCTTCTGTTATAGTTTGGTTATTAGCATAGCAATATGCGTCTAACAAATTGTTAATGTTCTGTTATTGCTTGCTTTCGTGTAAGAAAAAAAATCGTGTTTATCTTGATGATATCCTTGACCCAAGTTTCTCCACCAATTATTGTTATAGTTGGACCTGGTAATTTGCCTGGTGATATTGTCACTAAAATTTGTATTTGACAATAGCCTTAACAGTTAGAATGAGTAAACATTCTGATTGGGGAAGTCTTCTATGCTTTAAAGAGAGCCTATGAGAGACTACAAAAGCAAAAAGGGCATGCTTTGATATTTCTTTATGTGGTTGCCACATAGCTCATAGTTTTTTTGTCCAGTTTTCTGGGACTATTCAGAAAAGAAATTAGTAGGGAAAACAAAGGCTAAATGGCATGTCCGATGGTCGCCATTTTATGATAGTCACTACAGCTCCAAGGCTTCAAATATGTCGACAGCATGATAATGGAAATGGTGTGGATCCTTACATTATTATCTTCATATTTCCTGGTGCAGTTTAAGAAGATCTTTGAAAAACGGTATCAGGTATGTCGACAGCATGACAGGTTTCTATGTAATCTGTATCCCTCGTTGGTACTAAACAATTAGTAACATGTCGAAGAAATAAATATGCAAGCCCTTACATTGCCCTCATGATTGTTGCTTCTTAATTGTACAGGTTGAATAGAAGCCAGAATATCCTGAAAGACTTGGTGACATTGCTAACCTCACAATATCTTTGTATAGCATAAAAAATGAAGAAACAAAGAAGCAATGTTCCAGTATATTTGCAGAGGTGAAATATTAACGCTAGTTCGAGCGCACATGCCTCGATGGCAAGAGACCACTACCATCAGGTTTGTTTCCTCCTTTGCTTGTCGGGTTGCTAGGTTAGTGGTTCATATTTCTTTTTTATAGCAACCTACATCTTTCTATACCAAGAATTTGTTTCTGAATCAACATCTTAGTTGTCTACACCCGTTTCTGAATCAACATTTTAGTTGTTTCTGAATCAACATCTTAATTGTCTACATCTATCTACACTGAGAGCTTGTTTCTGTATCAATCAACAACTTAGTTGTCTACATCTATCTACACCGAGAGCTTGTTTCTGTAACAACATCTTACTGATACATCGGTTAAAGATGGAAATTATTTTTGCTTTGATTTCTTAATCAAAATCTTAGTTGTTTACACCGTGAGCTTGTTTCCTTTCATTGTAGGGATGGCGTTAGCGAAGGCTGATTTTGCCAGGTCTTGGCACGGTGTCGGATGGGAGAGAGCAGGGGAGGGCCAAGAGGCCAGCGGTGTGGGGTGGAGTAGCGAGGCCGAAGACGGGGCAGCGGACGCCCCACGAGGTGGAGGAGAGGCCGGTGATAGGGAAAAGCAGCACTTCATGGATGAGATCCTGACGGCTGAAGATGGTGCGCACGGGAGGATCTTGGAAGATGTCAAGGTGAGCTTCTCTCAATCCTTCTCCCCTTCACGCCCCTTGCAATTTTTTCTTGTTTCAGATCATATGAAAGTGAGTATATTCTTGTTGGCAATTGCATCTGCTATTTCTTTCTTTGCCTTTTCCATTTCCTACAAGAAGATACCAGACATTGTGTCATGATGATTGTGTTGGCTGCAGGGGTGCTGCGAGGAGTGGAGTGAGCTAAATACCTGACTGGCTAGATCGTTTTTGGGCTCTTTACAGATTTGCCGACTTCAAATGGGTATCTCATAGTTGAAGCAAATGGTGGTCTGAATCAACAACGTCTTTCTGTAAGTTCCTGGACCACGTTAGATACAACAAGCAAGCAATACCATTCCTATTACCTATACAAAAGTCCAGTGCCGTATGAATCCATTGACACCACTATGTAACTTGAAGTCATGTACTATCACTTTGATTGAGACGGCTTTCATCAATAACTTTGTGCTTGAAAGGCATTAGTACTATCTTTGTACATACATAGGTGTATTATTCATCCAAAGATCACCGATATTTGCTTTCATCTTTTTGGTCACATGCCATCAGATCTTTTGTTGAGAGATATATTTCTTCTGACCTGAGAGCTTGAGAATTAGACTCTGGTCTCTACCATTTGCTATGATGTGGATGTCTCATTTTGAGAAGTCCTTAGAACCTTCACACTATGCTGAGTAATAATTATTGACAGTGCAGTTCCATTTTTTTCTCAATACAGATCTGCGATGCAGTTGCTGTGGCCTACTTGCTTAATGAAACTCTTGTGATCCCAATATTTCATTTGAATAGCGTTTGGCGCGATCCTAGGTAACTAATGCTATTTTGTTTGCTCACTGCTTTGTTTCTTAACATTAGATAATTGCATTTTTATATGATGGATGCCTGTCTAGAGCAGTTGTCTCTTGCTTGTTGTTTTAGTGTCTGGAGTAGTTTGTTTGACTTCTAAAGTTCACTTCTGTTAGTTATAAACCCGTGAATATTTTTGAAATTCTACTTCTTGTTCTAATATGTATTGGTTCTTCCTAATGTTTTGTTTCTCAACAAATTTAGTGATATTTTTGCTGAAGATCGCTTTATCGAGACACTCAGACAATATGTAAGAGTTGTGAAGGAACTACCAAAAGATGTTCTGCTGCATTTCAATCATAATATAAGCAGCATACCAAATATGCGAACTAAAGCCTACTCATCCCCAGATCATTATGTTCAGAAGGTGCTTCCGAAATTAATGGAGTTAGGGTACGGTAAAAGCTCACCACCTCAGAAATAATAGGAGAGGCCTTGTTTGAGAATGGGTTTCATTATATATCTATTCTATGCAGGGTTGTGCGCATCGCCCCATTCTCGAATAGATTGGCTCAGTCAGTTCCATCGAATATCCAGGCCTTGGGGTGTTTGGTCAACTATGGGGCTCTGCGGTTTGCCAAACCAATAAGGGTTCTTGCAGACGATATGATTGTTTGAATGATAAAAAAGAGTTCTTTGGCTGGTGGGAAATATGTCTTGGTGCATCTCCATTTTGAAGAGGTCTCAATATACTCTTTCTTGTGAGTTAACTATTATGTAGTTCTTCCGTCATACTAAAATTTGCGCACACTGTTTAGGATATGGTAGCCTTTTCATGTTGTACATATGATGGTGGCCGGAAGGAGAAAATTGAAATGGAAAATGCCCGTGAAAGGAGCTAGAGAGGGAAGTTTCACCGACCTGGTCGAGTTATCAATCCTGAGGCAAACAGAAGGGATGGGAAATGCCCACTTACTCCTCTAGGGGTTAGGATTTTTTTCACTAGTTAAAGCACTTGTGTGGATATATGTACACCCAATGATGCATTCGTATTTCAGGACATTAATTAACATCACAATAGGCCTGTTATACTAGAATTGATGTTTGCTACTTAGTTTGTGATGCTTCAGGTCAATAATAATAACCTTTAAGTTTAGTGCCATCAGTTGCGTCTCTTTAGTAGCATTCAGAACAAATTTAGAAGCTTTCAAATATGTAAATATACTTACTAGAGCTAATATGTTAACTGACTGAATTTGGGCAGGTTGGTATGATGCTGCGAGGCATGGGGTTAGACAATACAGCCTTCCTCTACGTTGCCTCCGGTAAAATATACAATGCTGCAAAATACATGGCTCCCCTTCGCTAGATGTTCCCTCTTTTACAAACCAACAACACTCTTGCATTGTCTGAAGAGCTTGCTGAGTTTGAGGTATTGTTTCCGCTAGCCAGCCCATCAGCCTAGCCGGATGTCGTTCTGAATGTCAGATGAATATTCATGCATTGAACTGTTCATCAATTCACATTGAATCTTCATACCGTTACTCACCAACCTATTCTCTGTAGGGGTACTCTTCTCGGTTAGCAACATTAGATTACAACATCTGTGTTCAGAGTGATCTGTTTGTGACGAATCAAGGGGGGAACTTCCCTCACTTTTTGATGGGACACAGGCGTTACCTGTTAGGAGGGAATGCAAAGACAATTAAATCCGACAAACGGAAGTTGGCCTTATCTTTTGACGACCCAAATATCAGGTCAGTTTGAGCTGCCATTATATCATCAACAAAGTATTACAAATCACACCGAATCAGTTTCAATTTTGAGTATATGCTGGAATCTTTCACTAAATCAAACTGCTGAAGCAGTTCACTGCCCTTGTTATTCCTTCACCATCCAAGAATGTAGCTATTTCCTACTTTTGGAACGCATTAGCCATGTTAACAAATTGAAATACATCTCCGAGTTGACCTTCACATACATGCTCTAAATATTTGCCCATCTTTGCTTAACGTGTAAATGGATATAGTGGTATATGAAACTCAAATTGTTTCTTTGAACTGCAGATGGAGTCGATTCAAGCACCACATGCTGGAAATACTGCACCATAGTGACATAAGGGGCATCGCATTCAGGAAACCTAATGATTCCATATACACCTTCCAAATGCCTGATTGCATGTGCTAACAAGATGGAATATGATCTAGGCGTTAGCATACATAACTGAGGGATGCATATCCTCTGCCTTTGTGCAACAAAGGCACCAAAGGCACAACATTGTTGATTGCATGATCAGGATTTGATGGTCATGATAAAAAATGGAGTGAAATAAAGCATTTGGTGCTTCTTAGGAGATTCTGAAACCCTCTGGCATACCCCAAACCGTTCGATTCTGGATATAATGGTCAAAAGGTGCCTAATGACAATGAATTCCATAGGATCAGAAATTGAGGGATTTTGTAAAGTTAGTAATCTGTAGGTAGTCCACCATATAGCAATCTCCATTTGTTCAATCCGTCTGTAGGTTGTAAAGAGAAAAGAGCTACGAGATTGGGTTATAGATATGAGTACAACCTGAGTGCCTCGATGTATATTCGAAAAACAAGGGCTAACAACAACAAAGAAAGGAATTTTTCGGTATATCATTACTCATCAGTGCTTGTTCTTGCATTTCATCTTGCCCTTGACAATTCACATTTATGAGCATGTTCTTAAAGTTCAGACCTAACGTTTCTTTTTTCTTTCCTTGGGCACTTCCTCAAGAATCTTGTTGAGGTGTCTGTTTCCCCTCTTTGTGTCATGAATGATTATGATGTTTGTGGCCCTCTCTTTTCTTTTTCTTGATTTGTATTGGATATGCTACTTGCATCTTTGAACATGCATAGGGCCTCTCCATCTTTAACCCTGACTATAGAAATCCATTGATGGAAGCTGGGGAGGGCCGAGATGAACGTCTGGCTCCCTGGGTCTAAGCCATCGAGATGATAGAGACGACGTTTCCATGTCATCTACTCCAGCAGCCGGACAAGGCATATAAAAACCATGGATCCTTTGCTCCCCAGGCTGCAAAATGATCACAGTGATGTCTACGACCTCCTTCTAGATGTATTAATCTCAATCTCATGTTTGGTTTTCTTTCCTTTTTTCTTCTAATGATGTAATTTCTTTTACTAAGATAACACCATGTTTGTTGTAATGCCTTATTTGATGTAAGATCCCTTTTCTACTTTGAATTACTGCATATATTTCTTATTTAGTTTAGTTCGTCATTCAGAGATGGTGGAATATGTTTGTCCTTCATAGGTTAAATGAGCGTTGCGTAGTCCTTCACATGTTAAATGAGCATTGCGTAAAAGTATGTCTAAGTTCTCTTTCTTCAAGTGCTTCAAGTAAATGAAATTGTCTATTTCGAATTTAATACCTTTTAATAATAATCATAATGAGAGAGGGGTATGCTTCTCTCTCTCTCTCTCTCTGGGCAAATGTTACTTTAGACAACATGTACTAAGAAATAAAAACTCTGGAAATGTGTTTGAATCGCACAAAAAGAGTTTGTAGTTCTTATTCATACTTGAAACACGTGAGGCTCTGCAAATTAAACCATGTTTTTTTTCAAGCCGCATATGGATTTAGCATACCACAACTAAACTGACTGTATATACATGGGTTGTCCTTAGTAAAGAAAACGGTTTTCATCGCGAACATGGCTTTAGTTGAAGGTTCTTGCAGCATGAAACTATTTTCATCGACAACATGTCTTCAGCAGGTCTCTGCGCCATTTGGCGCAACAGATCAACTAGTTTGTTTAATTTACAGGTGGTTCCTTGGTGGTGCGCTGACAAACGTCCGCGCTGGGAGAAGATCGTCAAATGGTGGACAGATCCAGGGTGGCAGGATGAACACAAAGCAATATCTGAGCGGCGTAAGTTGATGAGTTGTCCAGGACACCGTCAAGGCAACCTCACCATCCCAGGTGTCGTCTCCAAACATGTAGGCAACCACATCCTTTTCTTTTCATCATGTTCTCTTTCATTTCTGAGCATTCCCTTCATTGTTTGGATCGCTTTCTTTTGCAGAAAGAAGACACTAGCAAGGATATCCCTTACTTCGAGGCATGGACCATCAAACGTATCAAAGACGACAAGGACAAGGACCCTCTCCACCCGGAGAGGGATCGGATCAGCTCTAAAGCTCGGTTAGATGGAGAGAACTACACCAAAAAATTGAAGGAGACGTACGGGCAAGAGGCTGATCCTCACGTGCTACCATTTTACCCTCTTGTGGCCATTGCCGCAGCAGGCGGTAGACCGAATGGTCGGATGGCGTTTCACCTTGTTTCTGTCATAACCTCCTCCCTTTCGAGAGTCAACACGCTCTGTGCTATGAGTACTGGCTCTACTCCTACCGTAGAGCGTCACATAGCACATTCCGTGAGCATTATTGAGGATATTCAGGTCAATGCTTCTTCATTGATCCTTCATGGTCCTGCATATTTGCATCTCAACATAAATGACATTTGCATTGCCATATTGTAGACTCGAATGATTGACACCGAGAAAGAACAAGATGAAAACAAGGCCAAGCTGAAGGCACAAGATGATCTAGTGAAGTCTTTACAACATGTGGTGAACAATCTTTATTCCATGCAAGGACAATCAGTGCCAGAGATGCCACCGACGCCAGAGTGGAACATTGTGAGTTCCGTTCAAGCTATTTCTATCACCATTTTCGGCATTACCATATGCATTCATCTCACTATTGGGTCAATCCATCACAGCTCAACCCATCACAAGGGTCGAACAATGTTCCGGTAGTTCCACCTCAAGTTGGTGGAGTTGGGGCAGCAAACGGAATGATGCCTTCTAATGTTGATGTTATCACTCTGATCTCTAAAATTGCGTGAACTTCATGTTATGTTTTGTTTGAAACTGTTCCTTGTATGTGCTTGAGAACTCTTGCATCTTGAGACTTGTAAACTTGTGGTAGTTAACTGTCTTGACTACTATTTCACCTTTTATGCACTATTGCTTTTATGTGGAATGTTTTTCAGAATCATTGCTTTTTTTGTTCAATGATGCCTATATGTGACATGTTCCATGTGTGATGAACTATATGTTGCTGTTGTATATGTTTTGTTGCAGGAAAGAAACAAAAATGAAAAAAGGCTGCTGGGCACACCATTACCGAGGTGCCTCTCAGTAATGACTGTGAAACTGGACCAGCATGCACCCTTTACCGAGAGGAATCTTGGTAAAAGTGTACCAACTAGTAGAACCTGGCACTTTTACCGAGAGGCCTCTCGGTAAAGGATAATAACATGTAGTGTCCTAAAAACTTTACCAAGAGGCCCTCGGCAAAGTATGGGCATGGCTTTCAGGACAAGTGACGTGGCCCTCCCCTATTGGCTTAGTTTGCCGAGAGGAGCACTAGGCACAAATGGAGTTTGCCGACGATGGCTCTCAGCAAAGTTGGCCCTCGACCTGTTCTCGTGGTCCCACATGTCAGGAGATGACAAATGTAAGCCTCCTACTGGTTCTCTTTGCCGAGAGCAACTCGTCAAAGTTGGCCCTCGGCCTGTTCTCGTGGTCCCACATGTCAAGAGATGACACGTGTCAGCCTCCTACTGGTTATCTTTGCCGAGAGCCGCTCTCGGCAAAGTTGGCCCTCGGCCTGTTCTCATGGTCTCACATGTCAAGAGATGACACGTGTTAGCCTCCTATTCGGTCTGTTTGCCGAGAGCCCCTCTCGGCAAAGTTGGCCCTCGGCCTGTTCTCATGGTCCCACATGTTAAGTGATGACACGTCAGCCTCCTACTGGCTCTCTTTCCTGAGAGACCCTCTCGACAAAGTTTGCCAACGTGGCAACATCTGTCCCCGACTATTATCCGTTAGCTGCTTTATTTTGCCGAGACGTGTTGTTTAGCTCTCGGCAAAGACTTTGCCGAGTGCCCGTGTTCTGGCTCTCAGCAAATTCCTGTTTGCCGGAGAGGTGTACGCCGGGTGGCTTTTGCCGAGGGGGACACTCGGCAAAGGCTTTGCCGGAGGTTTTTGGCCCTTTGTCGAGTGGCTTGCGGCGGGTAGAATTGTGTTTTGTCGAGTCCCCTAGGGTTTTTGGATTTTTGGGGTATTTATAAAGAAAAGAGCCGATGCAGGAGGCGGCCGACGTGCGCACAACCCACCAGGGCACGCCCAGGTGGGTTGTGCTTCCCTCGAAGCCCTCCTCTGGTACTTCTTTAGCCCAACAGGTGACTTCTGGTCAAGAAAAATCTTCAAAAAGTTTTGCTGCGTCTGGACTCCGTTTGGTATTGATTTTCTACGAAGTAAAGAACAAGCAAAAAACGGCAACTGGCACTGGGCACTATGTCAATAGGTTAGTCCCAAAAAATGACATAAAGTTGCTATAAAATGATTCTGAAACATTCAAGAATGATAATATAACATGATGGAACAATAAAAAAATATAGATATGTTGGAGACGTATCACCATGGTGGAAGAAAACATCCAAATGCTCATTGTTGTGGCCACTACGAGCTGGCAGGAAAAATTGTTAGTACGAGCCACGAGGTGCGAGGAAGATACTAACACAACTGATCGGGCCTTAGAATAATTTTTTAACCTCCGAGATTAATAAGGACAGAAGAGTTGGGAGAGTTGACATGAAGAAAGTAGCGGTGACGCTGAACTCGGATCTATGACATGATGCCCAATGGCAATAGAATACCAAAGACACAAGCATGACCGTAAGCTATATAGAGGACAACATCAGGGTGGCTCCTGCATTCAGCGGTGACTTGTGAGATATGAAAAGAAGTGTGCGCGTCATTCATGTACTAAATAACAGTGGACGAGCTATGTACAAGTATGAGGGAGCCGTGCCCCCCCACCTGGTAGTGGTTTATGTGCTTTCCACATGCAAGTTTACTCTTTGCCCCAGTACAGCTTTGGGAAAGATCCATCATGCCATTCACATGCATGCGCACCTCGTCTCCTGCGCAATTACTATCTCCATCTTGAATAGCAAGAAGATGGTTTGCCCAACAAATCCTTGCAGGACGAAGCCGTGTAAGTGCACAACCGCCTGCATCACGTCGGCGACCCCATCACTTAGGATCAACCTCTTGCTCTCCCTAAGTAGGCAACAAGTGATCCAAACAACCATGAAGGAACAAAACATCTAGATGGTCATT